TATAAAAGACGACTCCTTTCTTAGAAGAGTTAGTTAATATGACTGCTCAGTGATCACTACTGTCTCTTGCTTATTCTGCCAGCAAAGACAGTCAACGCAACAGCCATTAATGAGGTCAGGTGGTAGCCTGTTTTACTTTGCGATTGGCTGGAAGGGAGTTAGATGTATCATTGTTCTTTATTTTTTATTTTTTTATTTTAATTAAATTTTTAGTCATTTAGCAGACGCTCTTATCCAGAGGGACTTACAGGAGCAATTGGGTTAAGTGCCTTGCTCAAGGGCACATCGACAGATTTTTCGGTTACTGGCACAACTCTCTTAACCACTAAGCTACCTGCTGTCAAAGTACCCAGATGTTGTTGAGAGCAGTTTGGAATCTGAATTTAGAAACTGAATTTAAAAACTGAATTTAGAAACTGAATTTGAAAACTGAATTTGAAAACTGAATTTGAAAACTGAATCTGAATGCATTTGAGAAATGTAATATATGAAACTTCGGTAAACTTGAAATGATAGTTTGTAAACTTGATACACAGAAAATGAATGTGATATCTACCATATTGAAACTGAATATAAAAATATTGAATTTGAATATTGAATTACATTTAAATAGATTTTTAAAACTTAATGCAATATTAATTCAATTCAGTTTCAAATAATGAAATACAAGGTCAATTTAGGAATTTAATGATTCAATTTATGCATTACAAATTCAAAAAGATTACATTCAAATTCAATATCCAAACACAAATTATAAATTATAAAATTCAAATACAATTTCTGTTGGCACTTACATCGCTCCATAAAAGTGAATGGGGACTGAATAGGGTTTTGGAATAAATGCAGAAAATATGGTCTGAGGTTAACACAGGCTTAGGAGATCTTATAAGTTTTGTTCTGTGAGATAGTAGCAGTCAGTTAACATGACCTTTAAGAATTATGAAGCCTTTATGTGATTTTTGTGATTAATATTTGGAATTCTTGAACATATTTCCAAAATTAAAATCACTTGGATCTGTTTTTAGTCTTTTATGACCAACAATGAAAAATAAATAAATAAATAATAGTAATAATAATAATAATAATAATATATACACTACTGGTCAAAAGTTTTAGAACACCTACTCATTCAAGGGTTTTTCTTTATTTTTTACTATTTTCTACATTGTATAATAATAGTGAAGACATCACAACTATGAAATAACAAATGTTTTGAGATTCTTCAAAGTAGCCACCATTTGCCTTGATGACAGCTTTGCACACTCTTGGCATTCTCTCAACCAGCTTCACCTGGAATGCTTTTCCAACAGCCTTGAAGGATTTCCCACATATGCTGAGCACTTGTTGGCTGCTTTTCCTTCACTCTGCCGTCCGACTCATCCCAAACCATCTAAATTTGGTTGAGGTTGGGAGATTGTGGAGGCCGGGTCATCTGATGCAGCACTCCATCACTCTCCTTCTTGGTAAAAGAGCCCTTACATAGCCTGGAGGTGTGTTGGGTCATTGTCCTGTTTCGAAAACAAATGATAGTCCCACTAAGCTAAAACCAGATGGGATGGCATATCGCTGCAGAATGCTGTGCTGTGGTAGCCATGCTGGTTAAGTGTGCCTTGAATTCTAAATAAATCACAGACAGTGTCACCAGCAAAGCACCCCCACACCATAACACCTCCTCCTCCATGCTTTATGGTGGGAACCACACATGCGGAGATCATCCGTTCACCCACACCGCGTCTCAGAAAGACATGCCGGTTGGAACCAAAAATCAAAAATTTGGACTCCACCGGTCTAATGTCCATTGCTCATGTTTCTTGGCCCAAGCAAGTCTCTTCTTATTGGTATCCTTTAGTAGTGTTTTATTTGCAGCCATGAAGGCCTGATTCACACAGTCTCCTCTGAACAGTTGATGTTGAGATGTGTCTGTTACTGGAACTCTGTGAAGCATTTATTTGCGCTTCAATTTCTGAGGCTGGTAATGAATTTATCCTCTGCAGCAGAGGTAACTCTGGGTCTTCCATTCCGTTGGCAGTCCTCATGAGAGCCAGTTTCATCATAGCGCTTGATGGGTTTTTGCGACTGCACTTGAAGAAACGTTCATAGTTCTTGAAATGTTCCGTATTGACTGACCTTCATTACATTTAAGTCATTTAGCGGATGCTCTTATCCAGAGCGACTTACAGTTTTAGTGAGTGCAAACATTTTTCATACTGGCCCCCCCTGGGAATCGAACCCACAACCCTGGCGTTGCAAGTGCCATGCTCTACCAACTGAGCTACAGGAGGTAATGTCTTCAGTAATGATGGACTGTCATTTCTCTTTGCTTATTTGAGCTGTTCTTGACATAATATGGACTTGGTCTTTTACCAAATAGGACAATCTTCTGTATATCTTCTATCTTGTCACAACACAACTGATTGGCTTAAACGCATTAAGAAGGAAATAAATTCCACAAATTAACTTTTAAGAAGGCACACCTGTTAATTGAAATGCATTCCAGGTGACTACCCCATGAAGCTGGTTGAGAGAATGCCAAGAGTGTGCAAAGCTGTCACCAAGGCAAAGCATGGCTATTTGAAGAATCTCAAATATAAAATATATTTTGATTTGTTTAACACTTTTTTGGTTACTACATGATTCCATATGTGTTATTTCATAGTTTTGATGTCTTCGCTATTATTCTACAATGTAGAAAATAGTAAAAATAAAGAAAAACCCTTGAATGAGTAAGTGTTCTAAAACTTTTGACCGGTAGTGTACAGCACTGTTTGTCAGACCAGGAGACATCCTGAAAATCGGTCTTCTCACGAAAACATCTGTAGTGTCCGAACGGTTTACTAACTAATTTAACATCTCAATGGAAAGATGAGCTTCTCACGAACAACATTGTGTTCTCCATTTTACCCTACAACCCCCACAAGCTGCACAGGACATCCCAAACCATCATGTCTGAAGTCGGTAACTTATGTCTGTAGCATCTGAACCATTTAAGCTACAAACTAATATGACTCCACTGTGGAAAGGGGAGAAGATGGTGTCCTCCGCTTCGCTCTATGACCCCCAGAAGTGTCATGTAACCTATATAAATGAATGGAAGTATGGAGGTAGTTTTGTGCCAATAAAAAACGAGGGGTTAAATATGTGTACAAAAAAACTAAAATACACTATATATACAAAAGTATGTGGACACCCCTTCAAATTAGTGGATTCGGCTATTTCAGCCACACCCGTTGCTGAGAGGTGTATAAAATTGAGTACACAGCCATGCAATCTCCATAGACAAACATTGGAAGTAGAATGGCCTAACTGAAGAGCTCAGTGACTTTCAGTGTGGCACCGTCATAGGATGCCACCTTTCCAACAAATCAGTTAGTCACATTTCTGCCAACTGTAAGTGTTGTTATTGTGAAGTGGAAACATCTAGGAGCAACAATGGCTCACCTGCGAAGTGGTAGGCCACACAAGTTCACAGAACGGGACCGCCGAGTGCTGAAGCGCGTAGCGCGTAAAAATCGTCTGTCCTCGGTTGCAACATTCACTACCGAGTTCCAAACTGCCTCTGGAAGGATCATCACGCTTCACCATCTGGCTGTCTGACGGACAAATCTGGGTTTGGTGGATGCCAGGAGAACGCTACCTGCCCGAATGTATAGTGCCAACTGTAAAGTTTGGTTGAGGAGGAATAATGGTCTGGGGTTCATTTTCATGGTTCAGGCTAGACCCCTTAGTTCCAGTGAAGGGAAATCTTAACACTACAGAATATACAATGACATTCTAGACGATTCTGTGCTTCCAACTTTGTGGCTACAGTTTGGGGAAGGCCCTTTCCTGTTTCAGCATGACAATGCCTCCGTGCACAAAGTGAGGTCCATACAGAAATGGTTTGTCGAGATCAGTGTGGAAGAACTTGACTGGCCTGCACAGAGCCCTGACCTCAACCCCATCGAACACCTTTGGGATGATTTGGAACGCCTACTGCGAGCCAGGCTTAATCGCCCAACATCAGTGCCCGACCTCACTAATGCTCATGTGGCTGAATGGAAGCAAATCCCTGCAGCAATGTTCCAACATCTAGTGGAAAGCCTTCCCGGAAGAGTGGAGGCTGTTATAGCAGCAAAGGGGGGACCAACTCCATATTAATGGCCATGATTTTGGAATGAGATGTTCGACGAGCAGGTGTCCACATACTTCTGGTCATGTAGTGTATTTCCTGAGCTTTCTTATATCTCCTAGATATAGGACAGACACTTCAAAACCTTATTCCTTTTGATATATTTTTTGACTGTCTTTCTTGCCATTTATGAATGTGTTATTCAATGCCTTTCTATGGGCTAGAGTAGTAAAGGCCAAATTCAATATTTTATCAAATAATTTGTATATATGTATTTGTTTTATACCTAAAGGAGTCCTAAAATTCTAAATCAAATAAATGATCCATGGTACGACCATCTTAAAACAATTCCGTATGTTAGCTTAGTAGAACAAGGTGATGTTGCTCTCCAAATGGATAACTTGAAATAACACGATGTAGGTAATTAAATAATCGAAATAAAAACGTGTTTATTTATTAGCCTAAGTATTTGTGAAATAGGCCTCGTGAAATCATTGTCAAAAGCGCAACAGATACTGTTGCATGTAGGTCTAGATTATTTATGTTTTGATCATATAGAAATATCAAAACATTATTTTAACAACTCCAAAGTAATTGCATGTGGCACAGGAACCACTGACTCGCTGCATTTTTCTATTATCAAGACATCTGCTTGTAACTATTAACTGGTTAGGACAGCTCATGAGATGTCCTAAATATCTGTCAACTTGGTGTGACACTTATGACTAAACAGCCTTCATGCATAGTTTTTATTTTTACCTATAAGTGTAGGAATGAAATGTCTCTATTCTCAGCACTTACGACCAATTTTCTATTCTGAGATGCTTTGTGGATAAGGGCTCTGGATAGCCACCCCTGAGTCAGCCTCTACCATAGCCTCCCCCCAGTCCTCTCATAGTGTTTCATCTGTGGCCTCGGTGATCCTGGCATCTGCTTTTCTCCTAGCCCTGTGCCTCCAGAGCAGGAAAGCCAGTGAGAGGAGCAGCAGGAGCCCCAGGGCCCCTCCAATCAGCCCTGCTTTGAGGGCCACACTGCTGTCCCCAGGGGGCTCGTACATCGTACAGGACCCCCTCTGACGCTTGCTGACTCCTGCATTATTCACCGCCACCACACACACCTCTGCCCCCTGCCCCACCTCCTTAACAGTACCACTTCTCTGGTCTTCACCAAACACCAAGGGCTCTAGCGCACCCACCACCACCTCGTAATGGGTCACGAAAGACAATGGTGCACACCACTGAACCACCACTGCTGCATCCTCCATAGACAGTCTCTTCAGGTAGGGAGCCTCTGGGGCCACATGGGGCCCACTCACCCCTGGACACAGGCAGCCGCTGGAGGCTGCCAGCTGGGCACAGGGAGGCTGTAGCTCCCGACAGGGGTCATAGTCACAGGGCTGAGGATTGGTGCCCTGTGAGGGGGCAGGCGGGGGTTGACTGGGTGGATCAGTAAACTCATCGTAGTAATCGCTGAACTCCAACTGGTTGTACATGTGTCCGCGTGGCCTCAGAGGCAGGGTGGCTGTGTGGTTGGTCCCTGAGACGTCAGAAGGTACGGCAAAGGAGGAGGAGCCATTAAGAAGGGCCAGTAAGAGGATTATGAGCGGAGGTGGACAATCCTTATTGGCGGACATAGCATCTGAAGATGATAGAAAATAACATTCCATTAGAGAGGGTTTGACAAATGATCTGCTTATGAAAGGTATTTGGTTGGAGACATACATCTGTATGTACACTACCGTTCATAAGTTTGGGGTCACTTCGAAATGTCCTTGTTTCCAAAAGAAAAGCAATTTTTTTGTCCATTAAAATAACATCTAATTGATCAGAAATACAGTGTAGACATTGTTAATGTTGTAAATGGCAATTGTAGCTGGAAACGGCTGATTTTTTATGGAATATCTACATAGGCGTTCAGAGGCCCATTATCAGCAACCATCAGTCCTGTGTTCCAATGGCACGTTGTGTTTGCTAATCCAAGTTTATCATTTAAAAGGCTAATTGATCATTAGAAAACCCTTTTGCAATTAGAAAACTGTTGTGCTGATTAAAGAAGCAATAAAACTGGCCTTCTTGAGACTAGTTGAGTATCTGGAGCATCAGCAATTGTGGGTTCGATTACAGGCTCAAAATGGCCAGAAACAAATAACTTTCTTCTGAAACTCGTCAGTCTATTCTTGTTCTGAGAAATGAAGGCTATTCCATGCAAGAAATTGCCAAGAAATTGAAGATCTCGTACAACGCTGTGTACTACTCCCTTCACAGAACAGCGCAAACTGGCTCTAACCAGAATAGAAAGAGGAGTGGGAGGCCCCGGTGACAACTGAGCAAGAGGACAAATACAGATACTCAACTAGTCTCAAGAAGGCCAGTTTTATTGCTTCTTTAATCAGCACAACAGTTTTCAGCTGTGCTAACATAATTGCAAAAGGGTTTTCTAATGATCAATTAGCCTTTTAAAATGATAAACTTGGATTAGCAAACACAACGTGCCATTGGAACACAGGACTGATGGTTGCTGATAATGGGCTTCTGTACGCCTATGTAGATATTCCATAAAAAATCAGCCGTTTCCAGCTACAATAGCCATTTACAACATTAACAATGTCTACACTGTATTTCTGATCAATTTGATGTTATTTTAATGGACAAAAAAATTGCTTTTCTTTTGAAAACAAGGATATTTCTAAGTGACCCCAAACTTTTGAAAGGTAGTGTATATATTCAAATTGTGTTATTCTTAAATTTGTGAAGAATGCTTGATTTCACGTGCTGCATGGGATATCGTGCATTATCATTTATTTCCCTCAACCCTTTTTATAAATCAGACCAGTGTGGTTGACACAGTGCGGCAGGCAGCCTAGCGGTTAAGAGAGTTGGGCCAGTTACGAAAAGGCTGCTGGTTCGAATCCCAGAGCCGGCTAGGTAATAAATCTGTCGATGTGCCCTTGAGCAAGGCACTTAACTCTAATTGTTCTTGTCTGCTAAATGACTTAAATGTTGACTGTACTGTGTAGAAGTGGTTACTGGCACCACCATCATTTGGGATTTAAAACAACAATATGCTAATCTGAAACCCAAGGCTTTGTAAAATAAAAAAAACACACTCACAAAAAACGGACCCAATCCCACAATAAATCACCGGCCTACATGAATGGGGAAAAAGGCAGAAATTGTAACATCAAATGTTATGTTATTCATGATCCTTTAGATTAATGTTTATCATATGACCATACAAAAGTTCTGCATACACAGCTGCACAGTTATATTTAACATTTGTGAACATTATCAAGCACTGAGGAATAAATCTGAATTGCAGACTATTGCACATTGGGTTCGAGCCAGGCTTTACACACCCAGCACCCAGAACAGCCCTGTCAGCTGCTTCCACTTACAGCAGAGTTGCCAGTGCGATCTCCCCATGATTCTATACAAATATATCTACCTGACAGATGCCCTAAATAAACAAGTATGGATTAATAAACATACTAATCTAACAGCAAGCAGAACACACCAAACAACCGTAGGTAACAGTGAGAGAGAGAGAGACGACCCAACCCAACACAACTGTATGCCAGTAGTTACAGAGTTAGATGTGTGTCAATAGACTTAAAAAAGCTGTAGACAAAAGGACTAGACAATAATTTTAGATTGATTAAAATTTATAAAAATATCAGTTTACCTGATTTTTCGATCGTCCTTTATAGCTTTCGAAATCTTGCCTCCAATGTTTCTTCTCCCTCTTCCTGTTCATTCACTCTCTCCCCCTCTCTCTCCTTTTATACATTCTTCCTAACTCCCCAAAAAATCACCTCCTTCTTTTCTCCCTCCCCCATCCAGCCTTCTCTGCTTTCTCTGCCCCCCGTTTGCTCTATCATTATCCCTCTCTTCCCTCTCCACCTCTCTCTCGTTTCCATGGTGGTTTGGCAATGTGTGTGTGTGTGCCTCTAGTTTGCTGCCCCTATATGTGAGGTAACTACCAGCACAGTCAGCTGCAAACCACATTAACTCCTGTTACATTCCATTGACGTGCTGTTCATTAATAAGGCTCTTTCTGCCTGTCAGGGCAGGTGCACAGTGAATGGTTGGGGCTGATTCTGTCTGCTGCCCAGGCTGATTCACACACATCTCTCACCCTCAGACACGCGCCAGTGCCTCCCAACCCTTCCGCTCAATGGCTCACCTCTCCTTCTCACCCTTTACTGGCTGTATGACTGTCCCACACACTGGTTGGTTAAGAATGCTCTACATGCACATGCTGTCATCAAACATAGAGGAGGCAAGTGTTCAGGGTTTGAATGAGGTCAGATCACCAAATAACTTGACTGGACTCGCCCACCTGCTGCTCTGAATCAAAGCTCAACAGAATAGAATTGTTATTTATTTACACTGAAGAGAGAGGCTGAGCTTAACTTTCAAAAGGAAGCACCAATTTGAAACAGTTGCACAAGCTGGACCAAGAGAAGGATAAGATAGAATAGCAAATCAGGTTGAGTGTATTGTTTTCTTCTATATTTTGGCATTGCTCTATAAAAAAACACAAAACCAAAATGTTAACTAAGAACCTTTTGGCTTGCCACACCAGCGGAGCCTTTTCAGGTCAAAAATGTTCCTTGAGGAACCCCTCTGAAAAGGGTTTCAGAGGAACCCCTTTGTAAAAGTTCAAACCAGAATATTTCTGTGATGGGAGGGGTTACATTTTAAACCTATTTAACAATATATTGTAGAGGTGAAAGCCTATCAGAAGATTGGAGGTGTGGCTTATTGGAAGCGTGACTTTTAGCTAATTGTTTTTGGCCACCCATTAGAGTAAATGTGATTCCTGTTCATCATGTTTGGTTTGTACAATGCAAATTTTTTTCATGAGTGTTTATGCATAGTACATATCAGTGGAGGCTGGTGGGAGGAGCTATAGGAGGACGGGCTCATTGTAATGGCTGGAATGAAAATTCATGGTACAGTATCAAACATATCAAACCACATGTTTGACTCCGTTCCATTCATTTCATTCCAGCCATTACAATGAGCCCGTCCTCCTATAGCTCCTCCCACTGGCCTCCACTGGTACATATTCTAATATACACTGAGTGTACAAAACATTAAGAACACCGGCTCTTTCCATGACATAGACTGACCCGGTGAATCCAGGTGAAAGCTATGATCCCTTATTGATATCACTTGTTAAATCCACCTCTATCAGTGAATATGTTTACATGTACAGTAATAATTCTATATTAAACTGATTATGGCAGTAGGCAGATTATGCAATAGTCATGTAAACACCTTACTCTGCTTATCTTAATCAGTGTAAGGTCCAAATTGAAGTAAGCATACGTCGATTAAAACACCTGGTTTTCTGAGCAATCTTTCGAATTATTAAGACATGTAAATCGGCGTCCCACCAGTATATTTGATCTGCGCATGTGCTAGCACCAGCTGAGCTGTCATGGATTCTGCCGAGGCTGCTCCTCCTCCTAGTTCGGGCAGGCTTCGGCGTTCGTCGTCCCCGGAGTACTAGCTGCCACCGTTGAATGTTTCTATGTGTAATTGCTTTTGTCTGTCTGTCACACCTGAGTCCGTTTGTGTCTGATTACGTGTTCTATAAATTGCCTGTGTTGTATTGGTTAGGTTGTGTGTTGTTTTTCGCCTGTCCGTAGTGCTGCGTGGTTTTTCTCTGTTTTGTTGTTTTACGCATAGTTGCGTAATTGCTCGCCTCTGTCGTTTTGAGGCCGTTCTTTGTATCTTTGCCTTGTGGTTCACAAGTAAACTTTGTTGGACTAAGCTTCGGTGTCCTGCGCCTGACTCCCACACCACATACACCTCAGCCTTGACATGAGCGAGCCTCCCTCTTTAGCATGAGTGAAGGGAGTTCGGAACAACTAAATGTATGCCTCTTAGAAGTAGTTTTCAAATACAGACTCATATCTCTGAACTCAGAATCAAATATGCTTCCCAAAAATAACATGGTCGCTTTGGTAGAACGTTTATTTTGATTTGCAATTTTCTGAATGTATCAGAGTGCCATCAGGTAGCCTGATTTCAGATGTGTCCATGTAAACAGGATTATTAGGGAAATTCTTGCAAAGCATGTAAATGTTTTAATCAAACTATTATATTAATCTGACTACCCACAATAATTGCATTATTGTGTGCATGTAACCGTACTCAGTGTAGATGAAGGGGAGGAGACAGACTAATGAAGGACACAGTTGAGACATGGATTGTGTATGTGTGCCATTTAGAGGGTGAACAGGGTATGGTAGTAGGTGCCAGGCGCACTGGTTTGTGTCAAGAACTGCAACACTGCTGGGTTTTTCTCACTCAACAGTTTCCCTTGTGTATCAAGAATGGTCCACCACCCAAAGGACATCCAGCCAAATTGACACAACTGTGGAAAGCACTGGAGTCAACATGGGCCAGCATCCCTGTGGAATGCTTTCGAGTAGCGTCCACGGCCCAACAAATTGAGGCTGTTCTGAGGCCAAAAGGGGCAAAAAGGGGGGTGCAACTCAATATTAGGAAGGAGTTCCTAATGTTTGGTTTATTCAGTGTAATATTAACAACAGTGTCAGCGTTCAACCTTAACATGACAATACAACAGAACAGATTAAAAGGAATAACATTTACTCTAAGG